GCTTTAGATGTGTGTTTATCACTGTGAACTCTATGTAATGGGTATGCTTACTTGCAGGTGTATATAGAAGTGACGATAGCGTTAGATGCAAGGTTTTCAGCTTGGCCGATGCCTGTGTACTAAAGACAGAGGGGAAACGGACAGAGCAGCACACAGGGATCCTAACCTGGGAAACATTTAAGAGTTCTTCAGCAAGTGTACTTTTGGAGTGGATGTGGGTGGAGGGTGTGTTGGGGAGAGGGGATGCTTACTTGCAGGTGTATATAGAAGTGACGATAGCGTTAGATGCAAGGTTTTCAGCTTGGCCGATGCCTGTGTACTAAAGACAGAGGGGAAACGGACAGAGCAGCACACAGGGATCCTAACCTGGGAAACATTTAAGAGTTCTTCAGCAAGTGTACTTTTGGAGTGGATGTGGGTGGAGGGTGTGTTGGGGAGAGGGGGCTGTGCTGTGGGAAGGAGGGATGAATATGCAATGGTCTCTCTGATTTGTGTGACTGGTGCTAGTTGCAGGGACTGAGACCATGTGCTTGGCAATTGAGAGTGCCTTGTTGCAGGTGGGGGGGCGATTGAGCTGGAGGCAAGGCTTGGAGCCGACGGAGGGGAGGGGAGGGAAGTGAGGCTTTTGACAGCGAGGGGAGGTGGGGTAAGTGTGTTTTTTGGGGGGGGCTGTGTTAAGAACATAAGAACGGCCCTACGGGGTCAGACCGGAGGCCCATCTGGCCCCGAACGCTGTCTTGCGACCGTGGCCGGTGGCAGATGCCCCGTAGGGAGTGAACCCCTTTCTGCAGCTCACTTAGAAATAGTTTGAATAGGATCGGTCTCAGTACGGATCCTTGGAGGGACACCTCTCTGCATTCTGAAAACTGGCCATTTATTCTTACCCTTTATTTCCTGGGGTGTGGTTTGGGTTTGGGTTTTGGTTTTTTTGTTTTGTTTTTTGTTTTTGTTTTACCAGTCCTCAATCCACGAAGACCTTCTCTCTCATCCCATGACAACATCCTTGACGTCAGAGCCTTTGGTGAGGGACCTTGTCAAAGGCTTTCTGGAAAGCGAAGTACACTATAGCTGCTGGCTTCCCCCTTGTCCGCAGGTCTGTTGGAACCCCTCCCCTCAAGAAGTCTACCGTAAGGCACGACTTCCCTTTACGGAAACTGGGTTGACTTCTCCCGCTCCCCGCCCCCCAACAAATTACGTTCATCTATGTGTTTGAGAATTTTAGGGTTGACCGAAGTTCCGAGTAATGTGACTGGTACCGACGTTAGACCTACTGGTCTGTAATTGCCAGGTTGACCTCTAGAGCCCTTTTAAAAATATTGGCGTCCCATTAGCTGTGTTTCCAGTCATTAGATACAGATGCTTGCTTTAAAGGATAGGTTACACAAACCCCAGTTAATAGCAGTTGCGCAGTTTCACGTTTGACTTCTTCTTTCAGAAGTCTTGGGTGAATGGCGCCTGGTCCCCCGCTGACTTGTTACTGTGGAGTTTTATCGGTTTGTTCCGAAACCACCTCCCGCGGCACCTCAATCTGGGACAATTCCTCAGCTTTGTCAGCTAAAAAGAATTGCTTGGGTTTGGGAATCTCCTGTGGGAGAAAAATCAAAACTCCAGTTGTCGGGGGGGGGTGCGCGAAGAGGGAGGGAGACTGTGCAGGAAAGCAAAACTCTCTAAAAGAAAACTGCTGTAAGGGTTAAAAGTTTGCCAGGCCTCTCTCCCTGTAAGAGAAACCATCTTAACTCTAATCAAGACCCTTACAATGTCTCCTATCTCAACTTCATGGAGACTCCTCGTTTGTCATGTAAACTCTTATCTTTGTCACAGTTGCCTTATAGACTCCTCACTTGGGTTCTCGTGTGCCTTTGTACTGTAAAACTTTACTTCTAGCACTTCTGGTGTGAACAGAAACGTCTCAGAGTACTTCTGCTGAGACTTTGATATGGTAAAGAAAACAATCAACAACTTAACTGTCTGAACATACTGTATAAAGGATCCCTGAAACTCTCTCTCAGGGCTGCTGCTGCTCTCACTCTGGTAGCTGTCAGCCTGCATGCATGCATAATAAAGTTTTCCTTCTAGATTTCTCTCCTGCCTCACTGCTTTGATCTCCAGCCTCGGACCCTTCTGGGGACTCTGTACCCCAGGGGAGCGAGATTTCCCCAACAATTTAGCGTCAAAAGTGGGATGGCTTGGAACTCCAGTTGGAAAGGCTGACGACGGGGAACGGGAACGGACTACAGCGCGCATCACGAAGGGTAAGGGATCCATTTAAAATCCCCCAGTCCGCCTCCCTGTTCTCGTCACCAGCGGGACCGGCTGGCGGGAAGAGTCATCTTTTGCTCCTAAATTTTCTTGAAGAGGCTGGAGGGAGATTTAAAATGAAAACACTGGGTATAGACAAATAGGGGTTGGATTTTGTTGCTGGCTGACTGGTGGAGAGTCCAAGCGCATGGTTTTGAGTGAGTGAAGTCCGGAACGGGACCGCAGCCGCACCGGTGCTGTCAGTGTCACTGAACAGCTGCCGAAAGCAAGGGCGGTTCCCCTCGGCACATAAGGAGTGTGAGTGAAGCTGACAGTTTGTGTGGACTCCCACCCTATCCTTGGAGAAGATAGTGTTGCTGGATGCCTGTGCTATCCTTGGAGAGGGTAGTACTGTTGGGCTCCTGTGCTGTCCTTGGACAGGACAGTGCTAACGTGGGTGGGATTGCTCCCTCGAGTATGTCTCTGACCGAGGGGAAAGGTTTCTCACAGCCTGGGACTCCCTTGTCTCAGATGATAACAATTTACAGTCAGCTAGGTAAATTGCCGGCAGGTTTGAAACTAAGGAGACTTAAGAAATGAATAAGCATTTGGAATGGCTATACTCAGGGGAATTCCCAGGAAAAAAGGCCACAAGAGGGTAGCTTTGATTTAGAAAAGCATGCTTATCTTAGAGTTTTCCTCGAGGAAAAACATCCTAACCAGATGGAACAAATTTGGAAACAACGAGGTTTCCTTACCTCTTCTGGCTCTGCTATTTCTCATGGTCCCCTTATCTCCCAACTCCTTGATGCTATTCAGCTACCCACATCCCTCTCTATTACCCATTGCCCGGCCCACACAGGTGCCACTGATCCTGTTTCTCTGGGTAATGGGAGTGCTGATGCAGCGGCCAGACGTGCAGCAGCACGTGGACCTCCGGCTCCCTTTCAGATTCTGGTGTCTCTTTCTCTCCCTGTTTCTTTGCAGGACCCGATAGAACTACAGCAAGCTGCAGAGAGAAATCTTTGGGAGAAAGCAGGCTGCTCCTTATCCCCAGCTGGGATAATGGTTGCGCCTGATGGCCGCCCAGTGGCCCCAAGATCTCTCACATGGCAGCTTGCTCAGGTGTCTCATCAAATGACACACGTGAGCAAAAGGGGGGTGGCCTCACAGATCCTAAAACAGTGGTACGCCCCAGGCGTGCACCTCGAAGCTGCAAGGGTACCTAATTCATGTGTGATTTGTAAGCAGTTTAATGTTGCAGGAGGAGACCCACAGGCTAGCGGCCACACGGAAAGGCAGAAAGAAATGCCTGGCAGCCCGGTGGGAAGGACCGTTCCAAGTGCTGCTCGTTACCCACACAGCAGTAAAGGTGAAGGAGCGCCCCTCGTGGATCCACGCAAGTCACGTATGCCGAACTGCAGATCCAACAGAGCCGACTGACCCCGTCACCCAGGACCCCTCCCCGGAGGAATCACCTGAGGACGAGGTTCAGCGGACCGAGGCAGCAGACTCTCAAACCAGACTGTTACCAAACGGGCCTCCACCAGGAGCTTCAAGGTACAACCTGAGAGGTAGGACTGTGCCAGCAAAGACCGACAGGTGAGCCTGGTGCCCTGTAGCTCTCGCAAAGGGGAATCCTTTCCAGTACTGAGTGAACTGAGAGACTACGGAATCTCGAAGAGTGCCTGCAGAGGCAAGCCAAACAATACTGACTGATTAAGCTTAGTTAGACTGCTTTGCTAGGTGCTATTACTTTATTATTGTTGTTGTTGTTGTTATTATTCTTTTCTACTTTAGCGATTTAAGATACTATAATAGGAGGAGGATTGTTTTCCTTCTTTTAGAGTAGCCTTAGTATATAACTTTCCCCACCCTTATCGGGAAGCCCTGCAGAAGATTGTGTCCCTCACCAATGCAAGTGACTGTTGGATATGTGAACAGCCTATCAAAGGCTATTACCGTTTATCCCAACTCCTGCCTCCCTGTGGACCAGACCCCTAAAATTCAGATTTACTGGTAGTCCGTATTCTCCAGGAAAGCGGGAGTGGGTAGATGCCCAGAATGAACACACTGTACCAGGAGTACATTGTCATGGGAGTGGGGGGGGCGGGGGGCGCGCAGACAGGCAGATTTGGCGTAAAAATCTAATTGCCTCGGGGATTCCCCTAACTCAAGCATTACATCTATCAGGAACTGTTTCCATTGTGCTTTGAAAGAAAAATTGGCACTGGTAAAGATCTGGGTTGGATCCCAGAAAATACCTGCTATCGTAGAGTATGGTTAAATCCAGGCAATGGGCAGTGGGCCATTCACAACAGAACCAAAGAGGTATTAAGGATGAAAAATTTGGAAGATGGGGATGGGCTAAGCATCCTAGCAGAAGAAGAATACCTAAGAATGTCCAGGACAAATTTTGAGTAATACTCCAGTAGGAGTATTAAAGGGGGGAATTGAGGGAGAAAAATCAAACTACTCCAATTGTGTCTAAGGGGGGACTGTGCAGGAAATCAAAACTCTAAAAGAAAACTGTTGTAAGGGTTAAAAGTTTTCCAGGCCCCTCTCCCTGTAACAGAGAGAAATCATCTTAACTCTAATCAAGACCCTTACAATGCCTCCTATCTCAACTTCCTAGTCTGTCACAGTTTGTCATGTAAACTCTTTATCTTTGTCACAGTTGCCTTGTAGACTCCTCACTCGGGTTCTCATGTGCCTTTGTACTGTAAAACTTACTTCTAGAACTCCTGGTGTGAACAGAAATGTCTCAGAGTACTTCTGCTGAGACTTTGATATGGTAAAGAAAACTGTCTGAACATACTGTATAAAGGATCCCTGAAACTCTCTCTCAGGGCTGCTGCTGCTCTCACTCTGGTAGCTGTCAGCCTGCCTGCATGCTTAATAAAGTTTTGCTTCTAGATTTCTCTCCTGCCTCTCTGCTTTGACCTCCAGCCTGGG